AATTTTTTACATGGGTTTACAATGTTTTAAATTGAGTATTAGTATTTGTGATTTGTATTTATATACACATATATATATATATATGTATTATTTTTTAAATCTTTTTGTGAGGTTATTTATTTTAATGTTATTGTACATTATATACTAAATAGGTATGTATTAGAAGAAGTAGGTACTTTAAAGTTTGATTGTTATAATTTGTTCGTTTATTTTTGTCAGGCATTGAAAATAAATATATTTAATGTTTTTTTTTTAAATTAATTTATGTAAAAAATAAAATACAATTTATACAGAATAGGGATGTGAATTCAAACTTATATTGTTAGTTTTTATTAAAAATATAATGTCATCTATATTATATGTAATTTAATTCATATTATTATTCTAACAAATATAAGACATTTATATAATTCCCAAGTTTTTTTTTTTTTTTTTAATAAAATAACTAAAACTATATGCGGAATGAATGTAGACATATTATTAAATTTATTTCTAAATATTGTAATTAAAATGTATATGCATTGACTACAGGATCGTTTTTATAATAATTTCTTACTTATTAAAAAAATAAATAATAATGAATAATATTTCTTGTTAAATTTAAAAAGATACTTGATAGATATCTTATATATTTTTAGAGTTTTATATGGAATGTAATATTTTTATTTAATTCAAAAAATCTGTATTATGTATCTTACATTTTGTTTGAATTTTTACTTATCGTATATTTTAAAATATTATGTGATTATTGATGTATTTATGTTATATTCGAAAAATAATAAATATAATATATAATTCGATAACTCTCTTAATGTTAAAAATAAAAAATTGTTATCTTCTCTTTTGGTAATTGTACTTTTAACTTAAATTTTTAATTCAGTCGTACTATTTTTTATTTTTTATTTATTATTATGATAATTTGAATAAATTTATATTACACGTTTGTAATAAAATATATTTATTTTATAACTCGTTGATAATTATTTATTTTGTGATGCAACTGTTAGATTTTTATAAATTAAAAATAGGATAAATTATCTAATGTTTGAGTGATTAGTATAGTATAATAAAAATTAAACATCCGAACATTTTTTAATTAAACTAAAATTATCTTTTATGTTAACCATGCACAAACAAAAATGTATGTTTAAAGGATTTAGAATTTGAGGAAATTTTGTAATTAAATATAAAATGTTTCTAAATGAATGTGATGGTAACTGAGTAAATATAAAATTAAATATATTCTAAAACTTTTCAAAAATAATATAATTATATTGAATTATTTATTATTAAATATGACATAATAGTTTGGATGATATAAATTTTTATAGCATATCAGGTAATTTGATAAAAATATTTATATTAACTTTCTAAAATTTTTGCAATTATACTTGAAAATTTAAAAAATTCTAAAAATTACAACATGAATTATGTTAATTTTATCAAATAACCAATTGATATACATGTGCTTGAATAAATATAATATTATTAAGTAGTTATATATATAGTAATTAAAGTAGTTAAAATTAAATAGATATAAATTAAATATATTATATAAAAAAAATTTAAATAATATAATAAAACTAATATAATCGTCATATCTATAAAAGATTAGTCGAACTCATAATAAATTTTAACTAGTTTATAATAAATAAATTTACAAATATGCGTACGTAAAATTTTTCCTTTTTATCAAATTTATTTACAAAAATTTTTTAGTTCATGCAATTGTAAAGTAATAATTATTTAGTGATTGTAATTCATGCACTCGTAATTAAAAGAGTTATGAATAAATAGAAATAAACTAAATATATTATATAAATAATTTATAAATTATATAATAAAACTAACTTAATCATCTTATCTATAAAAGATTAGTCGAGTTGATAATAAATTTTTACTAATTTATCGTAAACAAATTTATAAAGATACTTAAATAAAACTTTTCTCTTTTCTTCAACTTATTTATAAAACTTCTGCAATTCATGCAAATTCTAAAGTAACAATTTTTTATTACAATTAGATTGAACAATCAATTATTATCTCCAAACAATGACCCAACTATCATATGCTTACAAATATAAATCAATAAGTTACACAATGAGATTTGACTTATAAATCATCAAATACTCAACTTTTTTTTTTTTTATATAAAAAAAATCATTACCAATGTAAAATAGATATAAAAAATAATTTGAATATATTTAGTGTAATTTTGAAATTTATAATAAATGTATAATTTTGACAATCTAATGACTATCCAATCAATTAAATGAATATCTGTCTAAAGAAAATGGAAAAAGAATCCGAAGGGAGTGAGCTGATTTTTTAGGGCATTTCAAAAACCTTGTAACTTAGCACCCTGTTTTCTGGATACCAATTTACCTTTTAATGTAAAAAGACAATAATACCCTTATTCAGCTTTTTACCTACTTTGGTAAATTTATAATCCACCGACCTCCCCTTCATCAAACATATTTATGGGAACATGTTTTAATTAATGAAAGTAATCTCTCATTTTTGGACAACAATAAGTAAATTTTCATTCAAAAGACAATTATACCCCTGGATAAGCGTTACACGTAAGAGGGCATAAAGGTAATTGTGACTTCACCTTGTTCATAATATAAACCGGGTTTGTCCTAGTCATAATCTCCACCGATTTTGTGAAGCTTAACCCCCAAAAACCACTTGAAAGTCACCGTTTATCTCTGCAAATCCCGGTTTCAGTTTCCGGCTGGATTCTGGTGCATTGAGTACACCGAGTCGTCCATCAT